AAACTAATACCTACTTATTAGGTAAGTAGGGTAGGAGAGAGAGAGAGAGAGAGAGAGAGAAGCACCTGAGAAGATGGAGAAGCAGGTTTAAGGATCACCATGAAATGCTGCAAATTCCATGAATTCAAAGAGTAGGCAGCTGCCATTATCAATTGAGGTGGGCCTCTTGGAGCTCTAAGAGGCATAGAGGCAACGTATATTTCATCCCCACCTTGTGTAATGGGAGTTTTAGAAAGAGAAAGTATGGGGGTTTTAGAGAAAGAAATGCGAAGGGAGTTCATCAGACTGGTGTGGGGGTATCTTGGAACTAATATCTGTTATCCGTCGGCACTCTGCACCATAAGAAGCCCATTTTCAACCGGAAATATTATTTTTAAAAAAAAAGCGGACTATATCGAACTTTTTTTTAAGAGAAATTTACTTATGGCCACTATTGGGTCAATCATAAAAAGAGGCTCAGTCCGAAACTCCGAACACACTCCCCTCCAACGGAATTTTTTTTTTTTTTTAAATTGGCTCTCCGTCCAATGCAAAGAGCCATGTTATTTCTAGTTCTTTCTTATTTGGTTTTTAAAATACTAAACAAGTATACATCATCCCCAAAACCGGCAAGTCATCTCTCTCACTCTTCGCTCCACCATCCCCCCCTAATTGTTTTCTCGTGAAAGTTTTGAAGTAAGCTCTAATTTGATTGTTTAGAGCCTAGGCTCTTTATAAACATTTTCCTTAGTAAGAATTTTTCCAAAGTAAAAATTTATATAAAGGTGAGGCTTTAAACAATCAAATTAAAGCACACTTCAAAAATTTATTAAAAAATATTATTTTAGGGCTAAAAATTTGATCATCTCAACATCAAGATGTATGAACATGAGAAAAATAAAATTTTATGTGTTAGAAATAGTACATCTTGTAATATGTTATCTTGACCATCAATTTTCAAGATTTTCAGGTGTTTATATATTTTCTCGATCTACACTATTTTTTAATTTTAAAATTTTATAATTAGAGATGAAAATAAATTTTTCGGCCATCGCAAAGATTTTTTATATTGAAACGACATAATTTCGATGCTATTTGAAGGTGCACCTTACTTTTGATTATTTAGGACTTCGGCCTTATACAAGCCACACCCTCATTTTCAAAAAGTGTGGTTTGTATAATGTTGCAACTCTAGACAATTAAGGTCACCTCTAAATTTTTTCGTAAATATCATTTTGGTGTGATGGCTTGACAATCTATTTTTGTATCTAATTAGAAAATCTTCAACTTCAAAAATGATTCAAATCAAGTAGATCTATAAACACTTGAAAATGGACGGTCTAGATAATGTGTTGCAAGATACATTATTTTTAGGATTCAAAATCTTTTTTTTTTTCGTATTCATACATCCCAATGTCGAGGTGATCAATTAGAATATTTTCTAACGCCAAAACAAAATTTTAGTGGTGTACCTTAGTTCTACATTTTTAAATGAAACCTTACATAAACTTTTTTTTCTTTTCTCAAAGGGATAATGATCCGGTATATCACATATACACCTCACTACAACGTATCTAAATTTTGGAATGTTTCAATATAGAACTCAAAATCTTGAGTCCCATTGTGCTTTTTATTCAATAATTTTTTACGCTTTTACCCTTTCTCGACATCCTACCTCTTAAGCCTCTCCTTCCATGTGGCTAATCTAAAACCTCCCATTTCTAATCGTTTTCAACCCTCTTCTCTTCCTCTCTCGTAACTTCTACTCCTCTCCCCTCTCTCTCATGGAAGTTACATGAGCTCTCCAAAGACCACACGAAAGGTGAGAAGAAAACGCAAGAAATATTGTTTGGAAAGTTGTATATGGCCACGGACAACAAAGTTCACTTCTACTAATAAAAAAATATCAAAAATGCATGAAGAATACAACATATTACAGGCTCTCTCTCAAATTTTAAACTATGGTCTTTCTCTCTCTAGAACATTTAGACTAAAAATTAATCATTTTCTGTTTATTTTTCATTGCACTTCTTATTTTCTCTCTCTACAATATATTCTTTATAAAAAGAACCCAAGAGACTAAAAAACCAAATATTTTCTCTCTATCTTTCATTGCACCTCTTATTTTCTTTCTCTACAAGATATTCTTTATAAAGAGAACCCAAGAGACATTGTAATAGTATAAAAAAAAAAAAAACTCTTTATAGTAGGATGGTCTATATAGCCATTATGGCCCTTAAGGACCATCACTACTTTTATATCTTTTTAAGCTTCACTTTTCTTATCAGCCACGTCCTTTAGTGGACGTGGGTTATAAACATTACAAGCTTATTATTAATTATTAATGCTCCACCAAGGCGGAGGTGTTTTAAAGAATTTATATAAGACGAAAAGTAAGACGTCGCCCAACAACTCCTTTCTTGCTCTCCCTCTTACAAACGTAGTGAGCTCCTCTCTTTAATCAAATTTTTTATCGAAAGCTGCCTCTCAAATATAATAGGTAAGTGACATCATTGTCTTGAAGAATAATTCATTTTTTTTAAAATGAAATAATTATTTATGTCATTATCACGAATTTTAGGCACAGTAAATTTTATGCTTAAGTGACTTCATTGTCGCGAAAAATAATCTTTTTCATAAAATTGTGATATTTTATCTATGTTATAAATTTTAAATGCTGTAAATTCTTAGAAATAAATTTATTTTTCTTGTTTATTGTTAGAGAATTTTAGATACTATAAAATTATTAGAAATAAATATGATATTTCTGCTTTTAGTAAAATTGTGAAACTTCTTTCTACTGCTTTTTAATATTTAGACATTGTAAAATTCATGTGCAAATGACTGCCTTATTATTTGAAAACTGATATTTTTGCATTTGATTATAGCATTGTATGTGAAATGTTTATTTGCGAATTAACATCCCATAAATTGTGATAATTCTGTATTCTTGGATTTCTATAAGAGTTTTTCTATACATACTATATTGGCAATTATGCTAGAATGTCTTTACGAACTGCTACCTTTCTGAATTTGAGCCCAAAATATTTGACTGGGTATTTTTTAAATGTTATTGAAAGTCACTGTTATTAATGGTTTCAGTGAAATTCATATTAATAATTGCAGTGATATGTTGAGTACATGATATTGCTGCTTTTGAATATTTAAAGAGATTTAAAAATACTTTAAGTGTGCAAGTGGACTCATCCGGTTCGCCGGTGAGGTACAAGTGGACCTATCCAGTACGCCGATAGGGATTTAGTGGACTCATTCGGTACGTCAGTGAGGTATAAGTGGACCTGCATGGATTAAGTGGACCTATCTGTGACGTCGATAAGGATTAAGTGGACCCATCAGGATGCTGATGGGGTATATAGGTGACCTACTTGAGACGCCAGTAGGATATTTTGTGAAATCCTTTGAATTATACACTGCCGTTGAAATGTTATACGCATTTCAATTATTCGAATTATACTTAATTATACATTTTTTAAAGTGAAACTGTGGATGCATTTCTTTTAATAGATCGCCTTTTTGAAAATATTGATATCTTTCAACCATGATTATTTTTAGGATTATGATGATCACTTACTGAGTAGCCAAACTCATCAAACTATGGTAAATATTTTTTTCAGGATAACTGCGGTTTCATTTTGAGTGCTCGTCAGGATCAACTTTGGAAGATATATTAGTTGTGCTTAAACTTTCTTTTATTACTTTGTAAGAATTCGCCATTGTAAATTTGTCATATCAAGAGATGTATATATATTTTGACTATCACATTTCAGGAATATCAATATTGTAAATTCTTGGGGCGTGACAATTATGGTATTAGAGCGATAGGTTTAAGATTCTTAGGAAATTTAAAAAGAACGTACTTAAAATCACATTTACTGTGCAGACCGGGACGAAGTTAAGATCCAGAATAGCTGAAGCTAATATGAAGGAATTCACAAAGCCTTGGAAAATATGATTGCTCTAATGCAATATCAGATGGAAAACAACAATCCACCTAGGCAGTCAGTTACGAGAAATGGTGGGAGTAATATCGAACAATTTAAGAAATTGAACCCATCTTCTTTTAAGGGTGTTGTAAACCCAATGGAAGCCGAGAAATGGATTATGCAATTGGATAAAATATTCAAGGTAATGGAATGTCCTGATGATAAGAAGGTGGCCTTGGCAGTTTTTATGTTGAAGGTGAAGCACAACATTGGTAGTGAATGGCAAAATGAGTATTGGTCAAAGAAAATAAACCCTTGATTTGGGAAGTATTTCTAGAGGCATTTAATGAAAAATATTTTCCAGATTTTATTCGAGACCAAAAAGAAATGAAATTTCTGGAATTAATCCAAGGAAACAGGACAGTAGCACAATACGAGGCTAAGTTTACTGAATTGGCCAGGTTTGCACCACATATGGTTAACAATGAGGTAAAAAAGGTGAAAAAATTTGAAAGAGGTCTCAGACGAGCTATTAGAAGCAGAACAACGGTCTTAAATTTGAGAACTTATGCTGAAATAGTGGATCGAGCCCAAATTGTCGAAAACGATTGCGAAGATTATCAAAAGATGAAAAATCAAAAAAGTCAGGTTATACCCACACCATCTAATCGACAACAGTTTGAAATGGCAAATAAGAAGCCAATGCCCTTGCCACTTCAAAGCCCAATATAACCATGTAAAAAATGTGAGACAAAGCATGGATCGAGCCCTTGTTATTGAAATACTGGAGCCTGTTTTAAATGTAGAAAATTGGTGCACCAGATTAGAGAATGTCCTAGCTTACAGATGCAACAGCTTCCAAAGCAGGGAGAGATAACTAAAAAGCCTCAGATGAAGGGAAAAGTATTTGCGATCACCTAGCAAGACGCTCAGGCTTCAAAATCAGTGATCAAAGGTACTCTTATTATCTTCCAAAAAGTAGCTCATGTTTTGATTGATCCTGGATCTACTCATTCATTTGTGCCACCACACTTTGCATGCCACTTAAACGTAGAACCAGAACAATTAGAATACATTCTAGAGGTAGCCACACCGATGGGAAATTCAATTGACACCAATATAGTATACAAATCCTGTGTAATAAAGATGGAAGAAAAGCAACTGTTGGTTGATTTAATACTCCTAGAAATTCAAGATTTTGATGTAATCTTATGCATGGATTGGCTTTCTGCATACCATGCAAGTATTGATTGTTTGGTTACCTTTAGTATTCCGAATCAACTAGTATTTTACTTCAATGGTATCAAAGAAGACTCCCCATCATATTTAATCTCCTGTATTCGAGCTAATCGCCTCCTTCTAAAAGGGTGTAAAGGCTTTCTTGCCTATATCAAAGAAGATAAGAAGGAAGAGATAAATTTGGATAGCACTCCGATTATCCGAGAATTTCCTGATGTTTTCCCTGAAGAATTGCCAAGATTA